CCTGCGACCCTTTCAGAGTGTCCACGAGGTAAGGACTATTTTCTAATGGCATTAATGGTTTGCCTTTTATACTTTCCTTCTCTAATGAGTGTAGAAGTACCAAAAGTTTAATGATATTTTAGATTCCACATTTCAACTAATTTTTAAGAAATTTTCATTTGCCCAAGTTTAATATCTATCAAACAAGAATACCCACAATTATACGGAAAAAAAATTAAAATGTTCCTCCTTCTTCTGACTACATATCTGTGTAGGGCCATATTTTCTGCATGTAGTCCAACCAAAACACTATTTCATAACAAATTGAATGGATGAGAAATGAGAATCCAGCTGTCTTTGATTAAGCCAGGCATTCAACAGATTTGTAAAAGTGTAGAACAGTACTTGCTATTCTTCTCACGAAGCTTTTAAATTTAGAAAATATTGTGTTTTTGTTTTGTTTTTTTATCCTCACCCGAGGACATTTTTCCATTTTTTGTTCAGGTAGAGTATGGGGGGGGGGGGGAGAAAGAGAGAGATAGAGAAACATCGTTGTAAAAGGGACAACCAGGGCCGGGGATAAACTGCAACTGAGGTATGTACCCTTAGCGGGAACCGAACCCGGGTCTCTCTGGACCACAGGCCGATGCTCTAACCACTGAGCAAAACCGGCCAGGGCAGAAAATACTGTGTTTTATACAGATATCTTATTCCTGTTATAGGTTATGTTATGGGTTTATTCTTGTTATTTTAAATTAATTAACTAATTAATATATATATTTTTATCCTCACCCAAGGACATTTTTTCCATTTTTTGTTCAGATAGAGTGGGAGAGAGAGAGAAAAAAAAACATCGATGTGAAAGGGACACATCTAGTGGCTGCCACCCGCATAACCAACCAGGGCCAAGGACAACCTGCAATCAAGATACATGCCCTTAGCAGGAACGGAACCCAGGTCTCTCTGGACCGCAGGCCAATGCTCTAACCGCTGAGCCAAACCGGCCAGGGCACTAATTAATATTTTTAAAGTTCTCTGTATGTCTTCTTTCTGATCCAGTAAAATTTTTTTTCTTTATTGATTTTTAGAGAGAGAGGAATGGAGAGAGAAACAGCGATGAGAGAGAACATCAATTGGTCGCCTCCTGCATGCCCCCCATCTGGGCATTTGGCCCACAACCTGGGCATGTGCCCTGACCGGGAATCGAACCTGCAACCTCTTGGTGCATGGGTTGACGCTCAGCCACTGAGCCACACCAGCCAGGCTGATCCAGTTAATCTTGATAAATCTAACTCTCACCCACATAAACCAAAGCTCTTTGGATCCTCAATACATTTCTAGTGTAACACAGTCGTGGGAGGAAAAGGTTTGAGAACCGCTGCCCTCGCTGAGCCTCCCACAGCAGCGGGGCCTGTACCTGAGCTTGGCTCGACCTCTGTACACAGATTCCACCAAATCAGAGGTTTTTTACATGTCTGTCTCCCCCACTTCATGTGTGCTTCCTGATGGTGGTGGTTCTTCCTGCACCCGGGTGTCTGGCACAGAGCAGGAGTCCAGACGACAGGATGCAGTGAGAGGGAAGGCCCTGTGGACTGCATCCCGGGCTGCCGCCCGCCGCCTAAGCAACCTGTGGTCATTCACAGGAGGGCAGATAGTGCACTACATGTTCTTAGTTAGCTCGGATTGTTACTGGATCTCTGACCTAAGTGGAGACATAAAATATACATTAAAAAAAAAAATCCCAGCCCAACTGGTGTGGCTCAGTGGTTGAGCATCGACCCATGCACCAAGAGGTCGCCTGTTCGATTCCCAGTCAGGGCACATGCCCAGGTTGTGGGCCTGCTCCCCAGTCGGGGGCATGCAGGAGGCAGCCAATCGATGTTCTCTCTCATCGATGTGTCTCTCTCTCTCTCCCTCTCCCTTCCTCTCTCTCTAAAATCAATAAAGAAAAAAATATATATATATATTTTTTAAATCCGAAAATTCAGACAGAAATTAACCTTGGAAACAATTCTGTTTCCACTCTATGAGGCGTGCAGAGACAGCCTTGCCCTGAAGGAACCAGGAAATGCCCTGTGCCGCTGGGCATCACAAACACAGCCCCCAGCACGGCGCAGCCTGAGCCGTGTTCTGAGCATAGAAACCAAAAGGCCGAGAAAAGCAAACACCCGTAAAACACAAGATGCCATATTCTAAGAATGAAGAGAAGGTGGTTCAAACTCAGGGCCAGGACTACAATGAGCATGGCTTTTCCATCTTCTTTCCCTGTCAAAGACCCGAAGCAGACCGCCCTTGGGAATCCAGGCCACGGTTGTGGTGTCTGCCTTCCGACTGCATGATGCTCACTCACCGAACCGTGTTCGAGTCGAGCGGCTCTCCAGACATCTGCCACTCCCCGGGGCAGGGACATGTGCCATGTCCACCCCACACTGTCCCTGAAACATCCTCTGGCAAAACAAGAAGCAGGAGACAATACTGGATGTGGGGTTCATGCCTTTGGCAAAACAGCTTCTACCTCTGACCTCAGAAGACGGGCTTCCCCTTTAGGGCCTGAGCTTAGGGCCAAGGAGGGCAGTGAATGCTACCAACCAGGGAATGCCCTAGGGCATGTGCGTGACAGAGAGATAGTGAGATTGATTGATTGATTGATTGATTGATTGATTGATTATGAGCCAAGAGCAGAAATATGCTTTTCTGACTAAGTGTGTGGTGGCTTGTTCTAAAAGCAGCCCCATCAGAAACCCAACTGTGTTTCACGGCTGGTGATCCAGGAATCAGGTGTTTCCAGTTCTCTTTCTGTGGAGGGCGGCTGAGCCAAGGTCTCTTTGTTGCTCCTGCAATGCTGGCAAGGGAGCATTCTGAGCCACCGCAAGAATATATCTACAGTCTCCACCTTGATACATTCAGAGACCGTGGAAACATCTGGTGTCTGAAGATAGTGAAGCTTTTGAACTTCTCCCCTTCACTATTGCTACATAATAAACATGCTGAGCGAGCTCAGGGCACTGTTCCTCCATCAGAGAGCAGTGTCCCACCTGGCCCAGCTTTTCTCTGTGTAACGTCTCTGTGTCTTTCTTAACCTCCTGTTGCCCTCCTCAGGTCTGGTTTGCCTGGCTGCGCAGGTCAGCATCTCTCTAGATTGATACATGTTTATCATCTTGAAATTTGGTTTTAAAAACCCTTTCATCATCCCTGGCTGGTTTGGCTCAGCAGTCAGAGCATCGGCCTTCAGTCCAGAGAGACCCAGGTTTGGTTCCCACTAAGGGTGTGTACCTCAGTTGCAATTTGTCCCTGGCCCTGGTTGGGTTGTGCAGGAGGCAGTCACTTGATGCGTCCCTTTCACGTTGATATCTCTCTCTCTCTCTCTCTCTCTCTCTCTCTCTCTCTCTCTCTCTCTCTCTCTCTCCCTTTGTCTCCCTCCTACTCTATCTGAACAAAAAATGGAAATATGTCCTCCAGTGAGGATAAAAACAAACAAAAAAAACCTTTAATCAGTATACTGAACATTCCCCAGTCCTTTTCCCCGCTGCAGAAGTCTTATGTTTATTTACATCAGTATGGCTGTATGGATCAGGGATTCTCAGGAGCCTCCCGACATGAAGTCCCAGTATCATGGGGTCATTGTTTAGGTTGACATCAGTAGTTAGTCTGACCTCTTAAAACAGGGCTCTCTGGGTCCCCTTGTCAGCTCAGGCCACCGAGCGGTTCTCTCAGAGGCCTTCACAGATTCGAGCGGCTGGCCAACAACATGCAAATGTAAACAGTTTCAGAAACGACTTCATGGAATGGTACTCGTGGCAAACCTCTCACTCACTGCGTACGTACAATTCACATACACAGGGTGAGCAAAAGCAGGTATACAGTTGTGAGTACCCGAAACAGAGTTTATTCTTTGTATTATCATTTATTAATTATTGTATTATTTATCGGCATTAAAACCGTAAACCTACTTTTGCCAACCCCTATATTACCTCATTTCACCTCACAAAAATATTCCAAGGACAGCATTCCCATTCCCATTTTATGGATGAGAAAAATGAACTTCAAAGAGATCACTCTACCGCCCGGACAGTGTGGCTCAGTGGTTGAGAGTCAACCCATGCACCAAGAGGCCACTGGTTTGATTCCCGGTCAGGGCACAGGCCCAGGTTGTGGGCCAGATCCCCAGTGGGGGGCATGCAGGAGGCGGTCAATCGATGTTCTCTCTCATCACTGTTTCTCTCTCTCCCCCTTCTCTGTTCCTCTCTCTCTAAAAATCAAAAAAAAAAAAAAAAAAAGAGAGAGATGACACTACCTAAGTGGACACATCTGGTAAGTCCCAGAGTCAGGACTTGAACCCAGATCCATGCTAAAACCCACTCTCTTCCACAGGCCAACCTTCCTAGTACCCTCACATCCTAGGCTTCCCAGAGCCCGTATTTGCAACTGGGATGATTTACCTATATTCTGTGTGTTTTTACAACCTTTCCTTTCTCTCAGAGAAAGAAAAAATTCACCTGAAGCAAACATGTCCACTGGGTTAGAATCAAAGCCCCCTGACCTTTTCCTATTCCTAATATCTGACTCAGCTCATGACACCCCTTTCTCTGTGCCTGCTCCCGCCTTCCCAAGCCCCCTGCTCACCTCCCACGCTGCGAGCGGGGGCGGGGGGGCATTATTAACACAGATTAGCTGGACAAATACCAAAAAAAATTCTCATAACACCCTTGTCCAGATAGGTCCAGCAAGGACTTTTCAGGTGGAGAATCCTGCCCGTGCACATTAGAGAGAAACCATGAGCCTCCGATTAAATGGGAGACTGAAATAGAAGAGATTTCACATCATTTTGAAAACCCGTGTACAAACACATCTTCGACTCCGGATGCCTCACTGCCAGTGGGATCCCCTCTTCCCCAGCACACCCAACAGGTATCCAGGGACAGGGAGGCTTCCGCAACTGCTTTCCGTCCCCTGGCCTGGAAATGTGCCCGTAACCACCCATTCTGGCCCGCTGCTGCTGTATGTGTACCCCCTTCACTCACCCAGGAGGGCTGTCTGCGGGTGGGTCCGGGCGTGTCTTCCTCTGGAGGTGGACCTCCAAGGTGGCCGCTCCCTGGCCTCCGCAGGGAGGAGGATCTGCCCGAAGATCAACAGAAAGCAGCCCACCAGCATCTTTTCCATCTTCAAGGAGAGGAGGATGGGCAAGGCTGTAACAGACACAACAGGAGAAGGGGGCAGGGTGAGATGTCCGGGTCTCCCTGAACTCGAGGTACTGCAGACGGCCGCCCCGTCTTCTCACGTTTCCCGCCACTTGTACTTAAAATACCATCTGTGAGTGTGATCCTTAAGAACTCAGGTAACCAACCCCCATTGGCAGGTTCTTGGTTACTCTGAGCAGGGCATGCATAGTTGGAATTTTTCATCACTTTGATCAGTATAATACTGAATGGAAAACTTTAGGGGAAAAAAATCTATCCTGAAGTTTCTTCTCGATTAAGTTTACTATCAATTATTCATAGTCACATTCTAGATCTTGCATTTGAAAAAGGAAAAACCACATCTGAGGGTTCCGAGTAACAATACTCCTTCAGTCTAACAATAGTGAATGGCACAAATTAATACATATCAATTTCCCAAGGAATTCCTGTATAGGTGACATAAGGTAGCATCATGTAGCCGGCCTCTCAGCCTCCCACACACACCTGTCAAGAGGAAGCACATGGTAAAGGGCTTAGCCTCTGGCACCAGACTACCTGACCTTCACTCTTGGCTCTGACCCTTCCTGTGGGTGATCTTGGGTGAGCTACTTACCCTTCCCGAGCCTTATGGGAATATGGGATAATATTAGTTAACCGATTATAATATTAACGTGAGTTAATATATGTAACTGCAGCATTCAGAATAGTGGCTGGCACACCTAGGAAGGTAGGGACAACCCAACAGGAAAAGAAGCTAGGGGACAAGGGAAGGATAGGATCAAACCAGATGTTGAGTAAGAAGCTCTCGTGTACATAACGAATTCTAACCCTGAGTTGAATTTCAGGTCCACAGGGGTGACGGGGGTTTCAACCAGAGTAGCACTGTCTTTATCAAAATAAAGCTGCCTTAAACTGTTTACTAATTGTACTGGTCCTGGAGAGTAGCTGGTATAAAGGTTTAGGAAGAAGGATTCTAAGCAGAGAAGTGACATGGTCAGATCCAGGTTTTCCCATGATGGCCAATCTCATTGCTCTACATGGCTGAGAAAGGTACTTGGCCACATGGTGAATGATGTCAAGATTATTTTGCCCTGGCCAGTTTGACTTAGTGATTAGAGCATCGGCCCGAGGACCAAAGGGTTGTGGGTTCGATTCCCAGACAAGGGCACATACCTGGGTTGCAGGTTTGATCCCCGGCCCTGTCAGGGTCATATGGGAGGCAACCAATTGATGTGTCTTTCTCACACTGATGTCTGTCTCTCTCTCTCTCTCTCTCTCTCTCTCTCTCTCTCTCTCTCTCTCTCCCCCCCCTTCCTCCATTCCTCTCTATCTAAAATATCAATGGAAAAATATCCTTAGATGAGGATTAACAACAACAACAACAAAAAGACTATTTTTCCTGGGAGGCTAAACCTCATGGAGAAGGCAATATTCCGGAACTGGGTTTAAATTTATTATTCCATTACCTATAACTATAATGGGTGTCATAGCACTTTATTAATTGATATAAATTAGGTGGGAGGAGGGAATATTTAAGGAGGAACAACTTTCAAGTAATATCATTTGCATGTAAAATCTTTACTAAGTCCTCATCTTACTCTTAGCAATTTCACCGAACAAACTTCATTTAAGCCTTACACCTATCTTGCAGAAACCAGAATTATTATTTCTGCCTTTTTAGAGATGAGGAAACTGAGGCTCAGAGAAATTTCATAACTTGACTAAGGTCACAAAGCTGAAGTGACAAAGTAGGGATTGCAGCCCTGGGGTACGCAGGCCACTTTGCCATTCATTGATTAACAGAAAACTCAATTATTTGCAGGTCAAATCACCAGAAGTCAATTCATGAAAAGCCACAGCTGAGTCACTTTCAGAGGTGGGAACAGAGCAAGGCTGGGGCAGGGACCATTTCCCAAGCTTAAACAAGAACATTCAATGATTCAGTGGACTGTTCAGCAAATTGCTTTCAGGAATTGACCTGGAGATGGCCTCAGGCCTGTCAACCTTCAAAGTCCACAGTTTTCACACTTGCTGTATTGAGTTAGCTCACTTTTCACTGTGCATTAAAATTACATTAAAAACAGTAAATATTTAGTGCTCACTTCGGCAGCACATCTACTAACATGGGAACGATGCAGAGAAGACTGGCATGCCCTGTGCAATGATGACACGCACATTCGTGAAGTGTTCCATATTTAAAAAAAAAAAAAAGCTTGTTCAGGGAGTACTATGTGCCAGGCACTGAGCCAAGTGCTTTAAATATATTAAGTCATTTCATTCTTACAGTAATTCGGTGAAGTGAAATACTTGAACAAGGTTATGTAGCCGATAAGGGGTGAAACTCCAGAACTTATTACAGGAAACTATTGCCCCCCTTTTAAAAGAATTAAACTGTTTACTAATTGGACTGGTCCTTTTTTTTTTTTTTATCCTCACCCGAGGACATTTTTCCATTTTTTGTTCAGATAGAGCAGGAGGGAGAGAGAGAAAGAGAGAGAGAGAGAAACATCAATGTGAAGGGACACATCAAGTGGCTGCCACCCGCACGACCAACCAGGGCCGGGGACAAACTGCAACCGAGGTACGTGCCCTTAGCGGGAACCGAACCCGGGTCTCTCTGTACCGTAGGCCGACGCTCCAACCGCTGAGCCAAACCGGCCAGGGCCCTTTTTACAGCTTTAACTGTGAGATTCCTTCTGAGAAAAGGAAGAACACTTGGATTTTTGCCTCTTTCTCTGGCCTTTTATTATTATTATTTTAATTTTTCAATTCCAGTTTATGCCTTTCAGTCTTTCTTTAACGAAAAAACTTTCTCTTATCTTAAGCCTACATTCAAGCTTCCTTAATTCTTATCACATTTTATATGACATTCTAAGTGTGTTACGTCATTTATATGTTATTACTTTAATGCTGTTCTCCTTTCTCCAAACTGAGCAAATACAGTAGTCCGCCAGGATGAGCAGTTTTGCTTTCTGAGGTTTCAGTTACCTGCAATCAACCTCAGTCCAAAAATATTAAATGGAAAATTGCAGAAATAAACAATTCATAAATTTTAAATTTCACATGATGTCCCAGGCCTTCCCCTCCATCTCAGCCTGGCCATGAACTGTCTCTGTCCAGCATCTCCACACTGCACCTGCTCCGCCCTTCACACTTAGTAGCCCTTTTGGTTATCAGATCAACCGGCAACGTATCACACACTGCTTGTGTTCAAGTAACACTTATTTTACTTACTAACAAAGTACCAAAGTAGTGATGCTGGCAATTTGTATATATCAAAGAGAAACAATAAAGTGCTTCCTTTACATAAAAAGGTGTATATGTAAAAAAAAAAAAAAAACATAGTACCTACAGGATTCAGTACTACCCACAGTTTCAGCCATCCACTGGGGTCTTGAAACATATGTCCCACAACCGTGGGGGGACTACTGTACAAAGTCCATGTTTATTTGTTTCAAAATATATACAACATGCTCTCAAGGCCCACTTCCATCCTCACACATTTGGACTTAAGTCCAAACATTTAGAACACGATGTGGTAGGTAATTATTTTCAGAAAAACCAAATACCATTTCATGTGGTTTGGGCTTACTGTGGATTTCAAGAAGTGTTTGCATTTTCAAGTTACCATCGCTAACCAAAAGGCATGTGGGGATAGGTGAAGGGTGCGGAGTTCAAAGTAAATACAACTATGTACACCTGAAACTAATACAATATGGTATGTGAAAAAGAAATTTTAAAAATCATCTTAAAAACAGAACTAAAGACTTCTAGTTGTTGAACCCTAAGCAGGTTACCGAGCCTCCGTTTCCTCATTTTAAACAGGGGATAATAAATAAACCTGGTGGTTGTGGATGAAATCAGTCCATATAAATAAAGCATAGAATCACTGCCTGGCATGTAGTAAGTGCTTAATAAGCATTAGCTATCTGTTGTTCTTGTTATTATTATTATCGTTATTATGCAATCAAACCAATTAATACAAAGCACACATTAATTTTGTCAGACTAAGCCATTTAATGCACATGAATTTTTATGTTTACTTAAGACTATTATAATAAGCCCTGGCCGGTTTGGCTCAGCGGTTGGAGCATCGGCCTGTGGTACAGAGAGACCCGGGTTCGGTTCCCGCTAAGGGCACGTACCTCGGTTGCAGTTTGTCCCCGGCCCTGGTTGGTTGTGCGGGTGGCAGCCACTCGATGTGTCCCTTCACATCAATGTTTCTCTCTCTCTCTCTCTTCCTCTCTTTCCCTCCCGCTCTAGCTGAACAAAAAATGGAAAAATGTCCTTGGGTGAGGATAAAAAAAAAAAAGACTATTATAATAAAAATATCAATGACATATAAATCCCTAACTTAAACATATGTTTTAGTATCTCCTGTTTCATAATGCGGTGGCATGGCAGGTCACAGGCTCGTAGAAAATATTTGCAAAACATATCAGATATATTTATATTCAGACTATATAGACTCTTATAATTCAATAAGAAAAGACAAATAACTCTCTTAAAAATGTGAGAAAGATTTGAACAGACACATCACCAGGGAAGATATTCAGCTGACAAATAAACATATGAAAAGATGTTCAACATTCTTGGTCATTAAAAAAGTGCAAATTGCCTTGGCCGGTTTGGCTTCGCAGTTAGAGTGTTGGCCCAAGGACCAGAGAGTCCCGGGTTCGGTTCCCACTAAGGGCACGTACCTTGGTTGTCCCCAGCCCTGGTTGGGGTCGTGTGGGTGGCGACCAGTCGATGTGTCTCTCTCTCTTCCTCCCTCTCTCCCTCCTGCTCTATCTGAAGATAAATGCAAAAATGTCCTCGGCTGAGGATAAAAAAAAAAAGTGCAAATTAGAATTGCAGTGAGCTTCCATTAGAATATCTACAATTAGAAAGGTTGATATAAGCCAGTACTGGGAAAGAATTGTGGAAAAACTGGAATCCTAGTACATTGCTGGTAAGAATGCAAAATGGTGCAGCCACTTTGGCGAACAATTGGGCAGTTTTTATAAAGTTAAATGTACACTTACTAAATGACACAGCACAGGGTGACCAACTGTCCTGGTTTTACCAATTAAAGTTAACAAAACTGCCTGTGTTCTAACAGTTAAAGGCCTGCATCCCAGGTAATTCCTCAGTATGGGGAAACTGCTAGAAATCCTGATCCTAGGAATTTGCCCAAAAGATATGAAAACACATCCACACAAAGACTTACACTCAGATGCTCCTAGAAGCTTTCATTGTAAAAGCTAAAAACTGGAAACAACCCAAATGTCCATATATTGAAGAATGGATAAATAAATTGTGGTATAGCCATACAATGGAATACTATTCAGTAATTAAAGGAATGATGTGCTGGATCAATCTCATAACAATTATGCTGAGCGAAAGCAGCCAGACACAAGAAGATTACATGCTGACTGATTCTATTATATGATATTCAATAAAGGGCAACACTATATGACAGAAAACAGATAGTGGTTCCAGGGTCTGGGGGTAGGAAAAGAGAATGAGCTACAAGAGGCAAGAGGGTAATTTAGGGGATGTGGTACAAATGTTTACATCATGATTACATGGCTCTATACACATTTCTAAATTCATCACCTGTGATGAATTTTATTATATGCAAGTTAGACTTCAAAAAAGGTGTTTAAAAGAAACTAAATGGATGGGGACAAAGATACTGTATACATGCCAATGTAAAACCAGTATGGCAATATTACTATCAGACAAAATAGATTTTTTAAAAATGCAATGACAGCCCTGGCCAGTGTGGCTCGGTTGGCTGGGCATCGTCCCATGCATCAAAAGGTTGCCGGTTTGATTCCCAGTCATGCCTGGGTTGCAGGCTCGATCCCTGGTACAGGATATGCACAATGCAGTCAACCAATGTTTAGATCCATGTTTTGGTCTCATAAGACTGAAGTTCCTCTCTCTTCCTCCCTCCACTTTCCTCTCTAAAAAAAAAAGTAAAGCCCTGGCCAGTTTGGCTCAGCGGTTAGAGGATCGGCCTGCGGTCCGGAGAGACCCGGATTTGGTTCCCACTAAGGGCACGTACTTCGGTTGCAGTTTGTCCCTGGCCCTGGTTGGTTGTGCGGGTGGCAGCCACTCGATGTGTTCCTTCACGTCAATGTTTCTCTCTCTCTCTCCCTTCCTCTCTCTCCCTCCCACTCTGTCTGTACAAAAAATGGAAAAATATCCTCGGGTGAGGATTAAAAAAAAAAAAAGTAAAAAAAAAATATTTTTAAAAAAATATAATGGCAGTGAAACAAGAAAAATAAGTCAGTGCATGTAACTGATATTAGTAATTGTTTCTCAGTTTGGCATTTAAAGCTGGTAGCATTTGTAGAACAGTAGCCAATTTCTAACTGGAAAACGGAATGATGTTCGAAAAACAGTTATTTTCATCTATGAGCATATGAGAAGAATTATCATGCTGAGAAATAGAGGTTAATTCAATCTGAACAGATTCCATACAAAGCAGTTGGGAGCATGAAAAGAATACTTTTTAAAAAATACAACAGCTTTGACTTTTGTTTTAGCCATTTTTCTCTTCTCCCTGTGACAACGAGTCTTTTTATTTAGCTTTGCCAAGGGGTTAGGGGACGAGAGAGAAGGAGATTGTTCTGACCCTCTTAGGCACGGGTTCTTCTAAGCATCATTGTTCCAAGTAAATTGACAGGCAAGTAGATTCCCACCGGAACCAACACTCTATGTTGCGGGCCTCGAGAGGGACGGTCTGGCTCTGCTTCAATACACTGTGTGACTTCAGTTAAGTGACTTCACTCTCTGGGCTTTACTTAGTCAACCATAAATGAGAGGGACGGCCTGGAAGCAGTGTTTCTCAGCCCAAACCGAACCACAGGCCAGCAGGACCCAGCTATCCTGGGGAAAGTTGAGCACGATGTCCTCCAAGGTGGTAAACGCTGCCGCTGAACAAAAAGAGGAAGCGCGGAAAACACTCATATTTCTTAGGTGCCTACTGTGGGCCGAGCAATGATCTAGGTGTTCTGTATAATTTCATCTCATTTGGTCCCTACAATCATTCTGTGAGGTGGACAAGATCCCAAATCCATGGATGTAACACTAAGATTCACAGACAGAAAGATAGTCTCTGAGCCTCAGAGCTAGTTAAGTGACAAAGGCAAGGTTTGATCCCTGCCATCTCTCAGACAGTCAACCTACTTGGCAAAAAAAAAAAAATT